CTTAGGCTCCAGTTTCCCTCCGCTATTCCGAGCAAGACATGCTCCTGAGAAGCCTTCCGATCAAAACCCTGGGTTGTGCTGCTAGGGACTGAACTGTGACAGGTCCAACTAGGTTTAGCAACACAGAGAATAACCACGGGGTGGGGGGTACAGGCAGACAAATGTGTAACACTTGAACATAAAACCACAATACAAAACATGTTTTAACAAGATTCTTTGGCCTCGCCTTCTTTGCTGTCAAGTACAGAAGGCTCTGAGTTTTACACTGTATCCAAGTGTAAGGGCTGTCAATGGAAACAACCACGGGTTCGGAACATCCCCACTGCTGCAGGGAAGACTGCCCTGCTCTGGGTAGGCGCTTCCTAGGTCAGAAGCACGAACCCCTCACCCATTTCCGATGCTGAGTGTCAAATGCATTGGGAGCCCTTGGAGTGGTGGTGCACACCACACTGAATCCTACTTCTGACTTCAGGGCCATCAGAGACTCCTTTATCTTCCCTGAAGCTCCCCAAGGCAAACGAACAGCCACATAAATAATCTGCCATTCAGTGATGCAACGCGGATGCCACAGAGAGTTTCTGCTGAAAGAGTGATTTCCCGGGCCTCCTGGGGCCAGAAGAACCCAGGTGTCAGGAATAAGGGGACAATTAAAAACAATTACAGTTCATCACACAAAAGAACTCCGTGATCACTGGAGCGCTTCATCAGAACAGAAGCACTAAAAACCAGAGCCTTCGATAACAACCATGAAGACCACTCCCCCGCCCCCCAAAAAGGGGATCTCTGCATAGAACATTCTTTCAAAATCAGTTATGGTCATTCTGGAAAATTACAAATTCCTGCTTTGAAGGAATAAGGTATATTGAAGAACAAAAACTTTTCTTCCAATAAAAACTCACCATCTAATCTCATTTCGTCGTGCTGTTTTCAGAGTGACAAAAACCTCTTTCATTTTCATCCTTCCTTCATTCCTTCACTCGTTCATTCCATTGCTTACTCGCTGAATCATTTTTCAGAGGAAGGCAGAGGGAGCCAATCAAGCAAATTCCTTCTTTAAAGGCCTCTTTTTCATTTACCGCAGCCCCCGTGGCATGGCGGTTATGAATAGGGCTGCTAATTACAAGATTGGCGATTTGAACCACCAGCTGCTCCCAGGAGAAAGCACTTTTCACTCCCATAAAGGGTTGGAAATTCATACCTCTGGTCTCAGGCCTATACCCACTGTGGTAGTTACATAATCTGGTGTCAATCTGAGGATTCAGAGAGAGGGCTGTCAATCAGGATACAGCCAATGAGGCCTCTGTGTAGGCATGGCCTTCTCCTGAGGATTCTGGGAACTCCTGTACTCCTCCTTGGAGGTGAGAGGCTCTCTCTCTCTCATTTTCTCTCCACACAGACATTGCAGCTGACAAGACACATGGAACTACACTAGTGCCCTGAGCTGGAGGAACCACATGGAGACCCCTGCCAGCACTGAGATGCTTACAACGCC